ACACAATGTGTACAGAGAAGCGAAGGAGCTTAACTGAGCAACCATGGTGGTATGCAGCATGAACGATGACAGCTAGTTCAGCCATTGAGACGAGAGGCAGATGTGAGCGCCACTGCTTGCGCCCACACCTTCAGCTTCGCCTTCACATCCCTGGGGTCATCACCTGTTCCACAGATCAGAATGGCCATAGCTTCGTCAGTTGGCATCTGATAGCTCGAACAGATGTGGAGGTCACAGCATCAAAACGTGGCCTTTGTTACCTGGGCTGGAGATCCTCCAGTGGATGGGGGAGTTGCCGCCGCTGCTGGTGTCGGCCGTCAGATCGGAGAGCGTCCCCGGGATCTCGACCGTCCAATCTGCCGGCAGGTCCAGGCCGAGGTCCCGGCACGCTCTGACCTCCTCCATGTCCATGCACATCCGCCCGGACCCACACCGGGGCCGGACCACCAGCCGGCACTCCCCCGACGCCGCCTCCGGCCCGTCCTCCGCGTGGCTCTTCTTCATCTGCCACGCCCGCTCCAGCCACCGCTCCCTCGTCCGCCGCTGCCGACGGCGGTGCCGCCGCCGTCGCACGCCTCCACCTCCACCGCCACCGCGGGCCTCCGTCTCGCTCGCGTACTCCTTGAGCCAGTCCGGTCCGCCCGCCGGACCTCGGGCGGGCGTGCCGGGCATCGACGCCACCCCCACGCCCAACGACGAATCCTTGTCCGACCCCTCCAGAAGCGCGCCCCCTCCCCCGCCTTTCGGCACGTCCTCCTCCTCCGACGCCTCAGCATCAGCATCATCCCCTTCGGACTCGAGCGAGAGGCGTGACGTCCTCCGGCTCGCGTTGCAGGAGCTGAACTCGCGGACGTCACCAGCGAAATAGACAGCAGGCGTCGCAGCAGCGCGCGGCTCGTCGTCGTCGCCATCGTAGCCCATGTACTGTCCGTAGATTCCACGAATGATCTGTTCAGATGCCATTTCTTCTCAATAATACAGAGATTGTGTTAGGAGGAAGGAAGAAGAGTCTGTCTCTTTTCGTGTCTTAAGCATCTGTCGGGAACGATATATATATATATATATATATATATATATATATATATATATATGATGCATTTGACTGGGAATATTTGATGCATATTCCATCTTTGTTTAATATATTCATGTTTAGATATTGCGACACTTATGTGTGGCTATCATTTAGATTGCAAGGAGCCTGATTCCTTCTAGTATGTTCTCTTTGGAGGCATTAGCAGACACCAAAAGGAAATTATCCTTCTTCTTTTTTTCCTCTTGAAATAAGCTTTTTATAGAATTTTTTATGTTTATTTATTATATTTTAATACTAATTCTAATGATCTGTCGGTACAAGACTTGTGGGGCAAATCACGGCCGTCCAAATGACAACGTGCTTCAAAACGGACGGTTCTCGCCGGCGAATGGCGACAGCGGCATATCACAGGGCCACGACCTCGCCAAGGGCCCCACGGTTTGGTACACGCGTCGATCTCATGGTGGTCCATCCCCCTTCCTCGTGGGCCCCGCGGCGGTGTTGTAGGTACCGGCCCGGCCCGACCTTTCGTGGTCCAGATGCTAGCCACGAACCCGGGTGACGTGGACTGCGTGAACGGAGGGCCCCGGCGAGAGAAGACTGGACGATGTCGTTGACGCGGCAAGCGCCAGTTGGCCGACATGAGCGGTCGCTGTTCGGATCTCAGCATCTGCCGTGGCCGAGTTCGTGGACTTACGGCCCACTGACCTGCCATGGAGACGACCCACGCCGCCGTCAATGCGGGCGCCGCCACCCATCACCCGCGTCCATAAATCCACACCACGCCATGCCGTGGACTCCACGTAAACTGCAGGCGCAGTTGGTCGTCGTTCGGAGGCGCGTCAACGTCCCCTACCGACGGCAGGCAGTGGTACGGAGCTCGAGGTGGCCCCGCCCCACCGCCCCGGGACATCGAAAGAGTTCTGATGACGACGAAACAGCCGTCGACGTTCTCGGACGCCACAGCGAGCACCCACCACATCCGTCTCATCAACGGATGTGGTTGTAACATCGACGAATCGCATCATGTGGCACGATTCTTGGAGCACCGATGCCGTGGTTCTCGAAGAGGTTGCTGGTTGGGCTTCCACAGTTGCAGATCTTTGTGTCTTGTGGAGTCTGCAACAATGGCAGCATATCACTATGTTAGTGTGTTGTTATCAAGTCGAACGGTAAATGAGGATTGACTATATATAAAAGGTGAAGGTGGGCATAATTAGCAACATCTAATCCTTCTCGTTATTATCTAATCTATTTTGAAAGTACTTACTGTATTTGAATGTCAGAAGTACTATATTTAAAATTTCACTGAATATTAGTTTTAGTGAAAATAAACATAACATTAACACTTTGGATGAGACCAAAAGCTTGTACCAAACAAAAGCACTTGGGTTCCAATCAAAGATCCACATGTTCCAACCAATAGAAAATAATAAAATAAAATTATCATGTCAAATGATTAAGGGAGGATTGACTATAATAGACAAGCATGGATAAAATTAATAAGGTCAGATCATTTTCTCTATTATCTAATATATTTCAAAAGTCTAACTTAAATATCAAAGGGATGGATCAGATTCAATATTCAAAATTTTACTGGACGTTGATCTTAGTGAAGATCGATATTATATTAAGAATTTTAAAACATTTTGGATGGGACCAAATATAAGAATAAAAATTATAATATATTATTATTAAGATTAAAATATGAAATCAAATAATAATAAATCTAAATATTACGATGCGTATCTTTTAATGTTGTTAAAAAAAAATCTTTCTTTTGATCTGCAAGTGTATCATTATCGGATTTGAGATATATATGATGTTGATTTGTAAGGAGAACTAGACTCTCATTCTCCTCTCTTTTTATCTTTCATAGTACCGATTTATGAACAAAAAGAATACGAGAGGATATTTATAATATCAAATTAACTAGCTCACTTGACTAGAGAAAATAAGAAAAGATATTTAATTTCTCAAATGTATCCATTATTTACATACATGTGTATTCGTGTGTTCACATATTCAATTATTGTATGATTGTATTGTATGTTGAGTCCCTAGGAGGTCAGAGCATAGTATTTAGGATAAATAATTAGAAGCGTTCCTCCCATCAAAATCTTAATATAATCAGATTTCTATTCTATTTGTCATAATTATAATCGGAATATATCTTATATAATTAAATAAGATCACATAATCTAATACTAAAAATTTCTCGAAAAAATATATTTGGTAAAATTTAATTAAATAAGAACTCTACTCGACATTGTCTTAGTGAGATCGACACAATATGGAACGTTGTAAAGCACTTTGGATGAGACAAAAAAAACTTTTACCAGTATAAATCGGATCCAAACCGAATGGAGCTGATTAATCACTCCTCCACCGGTATCATATCTCCATTCTCCATTCACGAAGAAAAACCTTTCTGAGGAGAACAGGACAGAGCCAAGGTGATGTTCAAGCAAGCTAAATTACCTACTGTCTGCACTCAGTCCTACCACTTTTGGAGACAATTGGAAGACCTTTAATGATGATTTCATTTTCATACGAATCATGTAGGTGGCACACTATATTTATTGTAGAATTTGGCATTCAAAGTTTCCAGCTCAGGACCTCAACTTGAGCATGGATGATGATGAAATTTGCTCCAAGAGTCTTCTTTTTGTCCAACAAAATCTTGTAGAAAATGCTTCTACTAAAAATCTATCATTTTACTTTTGTGTTTGTGTGTGTGTGTGTGTGGATGATGGTTGATCTTGAAGCTTGTTTGAACTGTTCATGGAGCTTCCCTTTTGTCATGCCACCCAACTCTTGGTGCTTTCTCATGGCACCAGATGTTGATGCTTTGTTTCACTCTCGATAACAGACTGCAGCATCAGCAGCATTCTTTGGCTTTAAGATTATTTCTGATCGAGTAAGAAAGAGAAGCCTATTGGCTTTTTCTGCAATGATCGATCGAGAAGGTCCTGAAGGTGTTGGTGAATAGAACCCTTATTGTCTTTGCTTGCAAGTAGGGGGTACTCGGTCTAGTTAAAGGTTTGGGACTGCATGTGGCCTTAGGTAAGGTCCACTGTCCCAAGAATCTTGATCTTGAAGCAGTGTGGGCTTGTGTCAGGCAATGGAGTACTTGGAACAGAAGCGATCACAGATGAAAGGGCACAGATCACTTGGTCTTTACACTCGGATGAACACCATGCATGGCACAAAGCTACCTTGATCTTTTTGCTGATGATCATGAGCAAAGAAGGAATCCAAGAGTTGCGAGGGGATTGTGGCAGTGGTTACTGCAAGAACTATAAACAATACCAAGAAGACAAAAGCATTGCTTGGCCTCATCTCTGCATCTCTTCATCTGATGCTGCATGGAAATTTTGGCCTTTCAGTCATTTTCACTGAATAAAATTGACTGACACTGAAGAACATTGGCTGATGCAGCCAGGCCTAATTATTGGACTACTTTAGGGACAAACACCATTGATTTGTTAGAGAACTTCCAGTGGATCTAAATCAAAGAACACTAAAGATGCTTGATTTCTGCCAGACACAACAATGGTAGATTTATTGTGGAAATCTACCAGTATAATGCACATATGTACCTACAAATGGTTGATCTTGCATTCTGTACAAATGGATTGAAAGAAGGGGTTAAATGTATCTTTTCAGAACAAAGATGACACATTTTGGCACCAAACCAGGGGCTAAAAGACAATGCCCATCACACTGCATGAGGCATAGCCAGTTTCATGGATCTCTGTCACTTACCATAAAAGAAGATGATATCCTTAACCCTTCAAAGAGAGAAAGCAGTGAACAGAGACCTGGAAAGTTGGGGTTGATCAAGGGAGGGGCCAATGAAGTAGAAGTTCCCTTGAAGTTGTGAGAAAAGTTAAAAGCTCTATAGCACAACTAAAAGCAACCCTAATGGGATCCTAGAAAATCCTTCCACTTATGTCACCCACACATTGTAAAGTCACTTGCACAAGCCACCTCATGGCCTGAGGCTTACAGGGAAGCAATGGAGATCTCACTATCCAGCAGCCACTGGTGTGCCATGGAGATCAATAAACAATGCCCAGCTGCATTATTGTATTTAGTGTCTGTTATTTCTGTCCTTCCTTTTTCTTTGTAGCATTAGCATGTGTATCCACTCATGCCAGCTCATGTTTGCAATGCTTCCTAGTTGATCCAGTGGTGTTCTCCATCCCTTACTCCAGCTCTACTTTCTCTTATTATCTTCCAAGTCCTTTCTTTCTCTGCCATTACAGCCATTATACCCAATCTTGCCTCCATGGCCTCTGAAGCTTCTGTGACAGATCAGACTGTTAAGGAGGTGAGTGAAGAAGAAATGCCTTCTCTAAATCCTTCTTTCCTTGTCTTTCTTGCTATATTTGCCATAAGTGCAACTGCTACAACTGGTTTCATCTGATGGAGAACCTGATTCTGTGTTTGGAGAATAGAGTTTGTCAATTCCATTGGCTAAGAGGTATCTGTTTTCTGATCCTAAAAGCTTTTGCTTCATAAGCTGTTGAAGTGCTGATGAATCTTCCAATGGGCTTTTAGTTCCATTTTCCCCAAGAAGGATTGGGGGAAGAGAGAGGAAATAAATAAGAAAGCAAGTTGTTGATGATTACAATTCATGTTTTTATGTTTCCTATCTGTTCTTAATTGTTTGCTACTTGGTATACAGAATAACATCTTCTTTTTCAAGATCCCTGCTAATTATCATTCAAAAAATCATGAAAATAAAACCATATCAGTGAGATAGAAGAAATTAAATCTTCTGGTAATCTTTTAGTATTTTCTTACTATGTTATCCACCAATAGGCTTTAACCTTTCATTCATAGAGAATTATGGGTCTTTTGATTCTTAGATTGCTCTGATTGAAGCTTTGCTATCTATGGCTTCCTCACCATTTGCCTCTTTCAGCAGTATATGAAATTTCAATTTTGTAAACCCTGAAGAGAGTCTCAAGTAAATCTGAGAAACCAGACAGTGATTTAATATTCCTTCAGCACTATGCCTCTATGCCAAACCAATCACACACTCTTTTAGTTATTATATCAAGCATCAGATTTTTCTTATTTTTATGCAAGGAAGCATGTCATTACCAACTTCTGAAACACCAATTTACTTCCTCACTATTTTTATTAATTGTCATGCATAATCATCCTTATCGAACTGCTCCCGGATATCGATTACCCTTTTATTTTCAATTTGAAGCAACAAGCTTCACCTTGATGCATAGTGATGGGCAAAATAATTTGCTAATCTACCAAATTACTTGAAATTTTTATCCCAAGTTCTAATGTAAGTAAAATATCTTTTGAAGTTTTCACTTTGACACATTATTCTAAACAAAAACACAAATTCTCTACCTCTTCTTGAGACTGCTCATCATAGGCAACAGTGATTTCACTAAGTTTAGTATGCTACTCATGCAAAGAACATTGTGGTTTTGCTCTATATTTCTTTGTCAGGACATTTTGTTGATAGCTGAATGATTGAAACCTTTTGCAGCACATGGGGACTAATGTCTCTGATAACATAAATAATGCTGATGAGGCTCTTCTCTCAAAGATTGAAGATCTAAAAGGAAAAGATGAAGAGGAAATATCCAAAGGAAAAGATGAGGAAAAAGTTGATGCGAAGAAGGATCCAACAACTGTTGAAGCACCTACAGCTGAACCAGAAGAAAAGCTGGACCAAGAAGTGGCCACTGTAATTGAGGAGGTGGAGGAAGAAGCCAAAGATAAGTTTTATTTAGAACCATCAGTTGAAGCTGAAGAAAAGGAACTGAAGGACAAATCTGATGCACTTGTCACTCCTGAGCCACTGAATGAACCAGTAGATCAACCAACAGAGATTTCGGAACCATCTGTTGCAGAAGAACCAGTCGAAACACCGAAAGAAAATGCTCATTCAGAAACTGTGACTGAAGAATCAACGAGTGCTGAAGAATCTTCTGAAGTTTCTGCTGCAGTTAGTCCTCCATCACTAACAGATGACAAGCCCGTCGAATCACCAACTCTATGCAATGTCCAAGAGCCTGCTCCTAATGCAACTGTAGCACTCAATGCTGTTGAAGCAGCAGCAGACAGAGAGACTGCATGTGATGGGGTTGCGGTCAGTCCTGAATCATCAAAACAACTTCCTCCAATTGAAACTATTGAATCGGAAAGCTCAGATGCAGTTACTGTGGTTCCTTCTGTGAATGAGCTCATAGAATCCACTGAAAGGACAGATGATGATCGTAATGCTGATTCGGATACTAGGAAATTAGCAGGAGAAGAGCTTGTGCCTGAAGTTGAAGTTGCTGAACGTAACGCAGAGCCAGTAGTTGATGTTAAGCAGGAGCAAGAAAACACTATGGATGTTGAGGCAACAGCTTTAAGCAAAACAAATCAATCAGTAGAGGTTTCTGAAGATGTCAAAGTGATTGTTGAGACAAAGAATGAAAATTTGGAAGGTGAAGACTTGAGCTTGGATACTATAAAATCAGCAGAAGAGATTGTGCCTGAAGTTGAAGATGCTGAACGTAACACAGAGCTAG